CCAACGAGACTATATTAGCCAAATGAAAGAAAAAACCCATATCTTTCTTTGCTCCTTTAAGATAAGGTGGTGGTCTGCCTGGTGGCTCAATAGACAAAAGTAATGAATAATTAAAGACAAACAACTATTACATATTGAGAACACACTGGAAAGGAAACAAAAGCAGATGATCAGAGACGATGACACATCGGGAGTGAGCAGCAGGACTCAGTGGTAGAGGACTTAGAGGACTTGCTTGTAACCTCAAGGCCCTGGATTCAGTTCCCAGCACTGCCCAAAAATAAAAGGCAAAGTAGAGCAATCATTATGATTAAGGTGTCCAGGCTAGACAAATAATACGACCCACTCTGCTACTGTAATTTTCAAACATGGGCAGAAGAAATTGGAGGTGAGAGCGAAGGTTTGGTTTTTTGGTTTTTTTTTTTTTTTTTTTTTTTTTTTGGTTTTTCTCCGGTACCGGGAACCGAACTCATGACCTTGCGCTTGCCAGGCAGGTGCTTTTGCACCGCTGAGCTAAATCCCCAGCCCCGGTGAGAGCGAAGGAAGAGGCCACATGCTAGCACACTCTCCTTAAATTTAAATTTTATTCCCATGAAAACATCTTTAGAAGTAAATAAGAAACACAAAAGGTACACAAGAGAAGAGGCTAAAGAGAAAGAACTGTTGAGGAGAGTTGTTCTGGCTTGTTTCTAGATGTCCCCCCAAAGCCTCCTGAAGTCATAGGAGGGATTTTTCAGAGGTAGCTGGAAGCAGGCTCTGTAATGCCATGATCAACGATATGCTGCTGGGATTGATTCACAGTGCAGTGCTAGGATAAGATATAAGGGACAGAAAAGAAGTCACTTGTTACTTGCTGTTTGCTGCCTTCTGCCTGACCTACTTTGCCATGGACTGTTTCTCCTCTGCGATGCCCCTCGGCCGTATCTCGCTACCTTGGAGCCAACCAATTATGGACTGATATCTCTACAAAGGTAGTTAAAATAAATCTCTCTTCCTTTAACTTTGGGTGTTGGATATTTTGTCTCAGCAAAGAGAAAAGTCAGACAAGAATGTAGACAAGTATGTAGTATAAGTTAATGTACAGTAAAGTTTGTCCACTACTCATCTTTGTTGTTCTTTGTTAGGAGATGATGACAAGTGGGAAGTCATCACTTAATCATTCAAACACCGTATCTTATGTTGAACCACACTCCTAAAGATGACCCTGCCTCCTCTGCATCATCCCTACCTTCTTGCTGCCTACCATGGCTCACTCAGTAAGAACTCCTCTGCTCCTTTTACTGCACTGGGTTGAGGATACTGTCACACTTGACTATCACTTCTATACCAACAGTATTAAATCTGTACTTCTGGTACTAAATTCTTTGACATCTGCCTCAATTCTACCACGACTTACCTGCTTTCTGTATGTGGAAAGCACAGTAAAATAATAATAATAGTCAAAATTACTCTCATTCAGACTGCCTAGATTAAAATCCCACTCCACCATTCAGAAACTGAATATCCTTAGAGAGCTTCATCCGTCAACTAGATGACACTTCATCTGGAAAACAGGAATAAAACTAGACTCTACACAGGGCTCTAACAATTATGCTGGGTGATACTCAATCCATGTAAAGCACACGAAACAGTGCTTGCACACAGAGGATATTCAATAAAAGTCAAATATATTCATTCTCTATTAAAATATTTATCTGTGACTTCAAAATATAACATGCTCAAAAATAAAACAAGTTGGGGCTGGGGATACAGCCCAGTGGTATAAGTGCCTGCCTGGTAAGCACAAGGTCGTGAGTGTGATCCCTGGTACAAAAAAAAAAAACAAACAAACAAGTGTAGGTTAAATTCAACTCCCTCCTGAAATTCCCTACTTCATTCTAGTCAGAAACTCAGAGTCTTCTACGATGTTGGACTTGCTAGGAATTCTTCCTTCAAAAAACATCAACTCCTTTCTGCCAAAGTGCCTCCACTTCAAATGAGACCCTCAGTACCTGGACTACTGCAGCTCCAGCCTAACTCAAATCTTGACCTCAACTGTCCCTTACACCCAGCCATTCTTCACACTGCGGCTAGAATTAAGCCTTTGAGACCAAGGATGAGGCCAAGGATGCAAACACTATAGACGATATTTTATAATTCACCATTTATAATAGTACAAAGATATAAAACACTGCACAGATAAAGGGAGAAAAGAGATGCCTTTAAACGATGTTACTGAAACAACTCAATATTAACATTGTTAAGGGAAAAATATTTTTAAAATATTTTAAAAGCATAGGACCTTAAGAGTATCAAAACTTTGTTGAACATCTAAGCAGACCTAAATACACCCATGCACCATATAATGATGTTTTGGTCAACAACAGACCACACATACCACAGTGGTCTCATATGGTTACATTGCCTGGTGACATCTCAGTTAGTCTAAATACATAGGACAAAACTGCCTAACTGTGCATTTTTCAAATAAATCTGTCATTAAGTGATACTTAACTATACCTTATTCATAGTACAGAAAACTCAAAATGATGAAGATTCAATTTTTGCCAAAAGTCATCTAAAATTTCTAAGCAATCATAATCAAAATCACACTAGTATTCCTTGTTGAACTTCAAAACTGATTTTAAATTTATATGGAAGGGTAATGAGCAAAGAACAGTCAGGACACTCTTAACTACAAAGATATACTGACACTTTCCAGTAGCTAGACTTAGTGTAAATCTGTACTACTTATGACATTACAAAATAAGAACCAGAATAAAGAAATAGACCAATAGGAAAAAGAGGGCCAAGAGACAGAATCCAAAACATCTATGGATAACAATACATGATTCACTGGGTAATACAGAGGTAAAAGAAAACACAGTTTAAAAGAAAACTGTTAAGTGATATAGGAGCTAGTGGATGGATATCTCCATGGAAACAATTAAATTGGACCACTTCCCAGTACCATACTCATCTCCTCTCCAAAAAATCAACTCTAAATGGATTACAGACCTAAATGTAAGATGTAAAAGCCTGAACCTAACAGAAGAAATATAAGGTACTATTTTAATAGCGTCAAGTTAAGGGAAATTTTTTTAAGAAAAGACCAAAAGTAAAGACTTAAAGAATGTCAAATCACAATTTAAAGCCATCAAAACATGTAATTTTTAAAAGTGAAAAGATAAATCACAATTGGGAGAAAATAAAATATATATACTATCTAAAGATCAGTAAACAGAACACATATATTATAATAATAAACAAATATAAAAAATAAATAACAAATATAAAAACTAATAAATATAAAAACTCAACAAGAAAACAGACAAGCCATTTCATAAAAATTGGAAATACAACTGGCCAATACGCAGATTTTAAAATGCTCAACTTCATCTATGATCATGAAAACACAAACTAACATCACAATAAAATAGCATCTTCACCAAGCAATTTGGAAAAATGTAGAATCCTGACTATATCGCATATACCGAGAATAGGGCATAACCAATCATACTCACCCATTCCTGAAGGGAATGAATACCAGTACATCATTTTCAAGAAGAGATTGGCATTACCCACTGAGGTCTGAATGTGAACACATTTAGGACCCAATCATTCACCTATGAGGTACGTATCCTGAAATAACCCTTACCCACCTGCACCAGAAAATGCTTAAATTACTCATAGTGAAAGTGTTCATAAAGACAAAACCCTGGGAAGAACTAAAACTATCAATAAGAAAAAAGAGGGCCTGAATGCTTAATGGTAGAGGACAGGCCTAACATGAGTGCTGCTATGGGTTGAATTCCTGACAGAAAAAAGTCACTAATCTTCATGAATAGTTAGGGTCACTGTATATTCATCAAGATGAATAAAATTAGAGGCAAATCTCAGAAGAATACAAGTAGTATAAGACCAATAAATACAGTTCAAACTAGTTTGTTTTAAAATACACTTATTAGATGACAATCTACCAACCAAGATAAAAGAATGGCTCAAAGAACGGCAGGATAAAGGTTACTTCTTGAGTCAGGTAATCCCAGCACTCTGGGAGACTGAAGCAGAAGAAACGTAAGTTTGAGCCCAGTCTAAGCAACTTAGCAAGATCCTGTCAGAAAATTAAAAACAGAAAAAGGGCTGGTGTGAAGCTCAGTGTGAAGGCCCTGGGTATCACCAATACAAAAAAAAAATTTACTTGTTGGGAGTGTGATTAAAAGAGAGACACATGGCTATGTCTACAGTCTTGACAATGCATTTCTTATGCTGGATTTACAGGTGTAGGCTTATTATGTAAACTAAAGGGTTTCAATAATGTATTTTACAATAATCACAATGAAGAGGAGAGGAATACATTGGAGAATAAAGTAAAGAAATGGGAAACCTTAAGAAGTCTGGCTGGACAAGAGAAAAACAGGATAAAAGCTAAGAGGGGCATTGGGGGTTGGTTAGACCTAAATGCTGATGGAAAGGCACCAATGGGGTCGGACAGGCTGAAAATATAGAATGAAGAAATAATTTACAGAATGAGGATCATCACAGGAGGTGGTGGGATAATGTATAGAGCACACATAAAAGAGGACACTTTTTCCACCTTAACCTGAGGGAACAAAGCAAAAAGGACTTATGTGCCAGTTACCCGGTGTCATTCCTGTGTAGGGCAGGCCTCACAGCACCTAGAAGAGGGCTGGCAGGCAGAGAAGAGAGAAGAGGTAACAACTGTATGACGCAAGCACACAAAGTCTGCACTGGGTTCTTCAGAAAGAACACAGAGAACACTTAACAAACATTGAAATCACCTCCTAGCTAACCACACAAATACAAAAATTGTATTAGAAAAGCTTTTCTCATGAAAGCTTTGTTCTTTATCAGCTAAACTCAAAACAGTAAAATAGAATTCACAGTATTTTTTATAAATGCCCAATATTTATCATCATACTTACAAATCTTTTCATGACTAATTTGCTGCTATTCTTACCTTGATTATCAAAAATTGGGGAGAAAAAGTTTCTACTTACTTAATTGAGTTTCTAAAGTGGTCTTCAGCTGGGTTTTTTACAGTACAACTGTTGAGGAGCCATAAATCTGCTTCAGAAGGATTTTCTAATAAAAATAAAAATGAACACAAAAAAGAAAAGTTAAGTATCACATTTAATCACATCAAAAATCTCCAAGTGCTTACCCAGATGGTAGGAGACCGATGGGGGGGGCAGTGTTAGAGGCAAGTAAACAGCCAATTATACGACAGTAGGTAATTGCTGTAATATGGAAATATTCACAAGCAATAAAAACAAAAATGTGTATTCTGTGCTGCATCTTTTCACTGAAAATGCACTGAGGACGAACATTATCTTCCGTAATTTTCAGTGTGCAAGAGTACTATTTAATAATTCCACAAACAAAAATGAAACTGACCTAATCTTCTCTGCATATAAAATTAACTGCTCCCTTTTAGACTGTGTTAACATCATTCAGGCATAGGAATGAGCAGATACTGAGTATTCTTCAGTTTGAGAAGTTATTAAAAACAGCAACTTGTCTGCCTTCAAGAACTAATGATTTACCTCAAAATTAGTCATTTCTATCACCAGTTTGATTAAATACTGTTAGCAAATATAATAAACATACTTGCAATGGAATAAATAACCCAAACTATGTTTATTAAATGAACTTAAAAATCTCTACAGTACCTAGCAGTCTGCCTTCCTTTTCAATACCCCAGTTGCCTAAAAGGACCTTGTTCATTAAAATAGGATTACCATAACGAAAGGAAAACTAGCCCTTTCAACAGCATTCCGGTAAGAACAGAAGCAAATGGCATAAAGAACCAAGTGCGCGCGCAGACATCTCTGTGTACATGTGCTATCTGGGAAGGAGAGTTAAGTTAGAGCATCAGGTTGGAAGGATGGCACCCAAATCGGAGCTTCTGATAATTTGGAAATAACTTTTTCACCCCAATGTTTTTTATAAATATAGCAAAATTGTTTTGTAAAGAGTCAGAGTTTTAAAAAATTCCTTATAAAATAAAAAGCAAGGGCAACTCCTTATCACTGTATGCCAGCTGATCCTATGATTCCTTCCTGACCCATCTCGACCTTCCATTCACAGCCCCCCAGCACCCTAATGGCCTGCTTCTCCGCCCAACAGCAAAAGTGGCCTTTCATACAACATAACCCTGATTATGTCACTCCCCTGCAAAACACAGAAGAGTACCTACCTACCTTCTCTGTTCCTTACACATCATTCCCCCACAGTGCCATTGAAAAGACCATTCCTCTATCAATCTCATGTTAGTACCATCCGATTCTTCCAGTGATTGACAGTTGGTATTCAAAGCCTACCCAGATCTAGCTGCCTGCCTCCCCAACTTCTATACTCATTTTCCCCTATTTTCATCTTCGTGCAATCACACAAATTCCTTCTCACCCTTCAGTTTCAGCTTCAGGCTTGTTAGATCTCTTTCTCTGCACTACCCTAACAGACTGTGTGCTAAGAATATTCTTACACTTTATAATTCTATGTTAAAAGCATTCATTTTCCAGTCTGTCTCTATTAAGAGATCCTGAAGACAACATTTTAATCAGCTGTTCTCTGGATATCTAAATATTAATACAGTGAAGGGTATAGAACAGGCATTCAAATAGCCATGGGACACTAACCAATGTGCGAGTAGGTGTAGGATGAGAAGAGAATGACAGAGAGATCAGTGTGTGAGACCTCGTGCCTATAGCACTGATTCCAAAAGCTCAGAAGGCCAATGAGGATCTGAAATAAGTTTCAAAAGAGACAATGATTCATTTAACAAATAGTTAGGACTGAGGTTTTTACCTTATTCATAGCTATATCCCTACAACTTGTTTCAGTTCCTGGTACATGACAGACAACTATTAAATATTTACTGAGTTAATATCAAATCTTGGAAAGACAGGTCATTACTATGAGTAATGCATTATAGATAAGGAAAAAGTCATGGAGATCTGTTAACTAATGATAAAAAAATATAATGACTATGGATTTATTTTTTTAAGAAACAAGTAAATAGCCAATCCTAATGACAAACTATCTATACCAGATGCCAGCTTTGTATCCTGACATATTCTTTGCAGTTACCTTGAAGTTATTAGACAATTCATAGCACCATCTTTCTCCCAGGAAACACCAGCAATAAATAAAAAAAATTATTCTACTTTGTCTATTTTGTATTCAAATTGCGCCAATGGTGACTTCTGGAATAAAGTGATTGTGGGTCCAATAACTGCAATCAACAGGAATACTATGACTATACCACAGTGCCTTCAAAGTTATAGAACCTTTTAGAAAGCCATGCCACAAGAGAGAAAGAGCATCACTTTTCAATGGACTCCAGAGATACTCGATTATGTCTCTCGTTTTTTAAACAGGAGGAAAGTTTTATTAAAGGTAGGAAAAGAAACAGGCTCTACAGAGCAAGTTTGGGCCAAGTAAAAGTAGGAAAAGAAGTATAGTCTACAGGGGCAGAGATATAGCACAGCAATGCAGCACCTGCCTGGTAAACATGAGGTCCTGAGTTCAATTCCTAGGACCTTCACCCCCAAAACAGAAGTACACACTATAGCATGAGGGGGCCATGAGCATGCAAGAGAGAATACCATGGTCAATATCCAATTATTTCTGAACTCCACATTGTGTTAGTACATCTTATTGAATATTATCCAAAGATGATTCTACTTAAAGGTATACATCAATCAAAAGCCACACAGAGTAAAGATTTCTTACGTGACAGACTCTACAAGAGGTACTAGGGACATGCCTGCGAAAGGAAGTCTCCTCAAGGAGTTCAGAGTCATTATGAGGAAGTCTTACTTTAAAAAATTAAAAAATAAATTTAAAAAAAAAGAAAAATAAGCACGTAAATTCAGGTTGATAACATGAAGGTAAATTCAGGTTGATAACAAAGTAAATTCACTTGATAACATGAAGATGTTTAGTCAGGGTATGGACAGACAAAAAAGCCTCTCCTGGAAGTTGAATCTGAGTTGCAGCAAATGATGGGAAGGAATCTGCCATGCAAGAATGGAAAGGAAGAGTGCACATACAAAGGTCATGAAACAAAACTAGTTCTCTTATGTCTAGGAACAGAGGGTGAATGGATATGGAAAGCTCGGAGAAAAATGTCAGAGGTGCAGACAAAGGTCAGATTCTTTGGTTTAATCCACTTTGGAATATCATTGGATTCCCACTGGCAAATTAAGAACTTTTTCTCTAAGTGAGGACACTACAGATTCCCTACATGAACTAATTACTAATTCAGAAAAACCACTCTGGTAGCACTGTGAAGACTCTACGTGGGGCAGTGGTCTGCTCTCCTGCTGACAAAAGAAAATATCTGACACCACAACTTCAGAACAAAACTCTGGCTCATTGTTTCAGAGGTTTCAGTCCATGGTCAGCTGGCTGCAAGGCAGGAACATCATGGTAGAAGGCCTGGTGGAGCAAAGCTGCTCACTTCGTGGCAACAGGGAAGCCGAGCAGAGCACAGGGCCCACCTCCTACTAGCACATTCAGCTATGAACATTAGTGGACTAAATCCATTGATAAGTGCAGGGCCCCTATAAGCCACAGGAGTCTCTGAATCAGTCAACAGTTTTTCTGGCACAACACAGCAAAAGCAAAGGTTGGTGGGGGTAGGGGGGAGTGTTAAATCAACAAAACAAGCGAAAAGCTGATATACTAGGTCAACAGTAAATAAAAGACCGCAGTAACATGGACAGGGATATAGAACTGCAAGAGTGAGAAGCGAGCTGGGACATACTTTGGAAGTAAACTGTGTTAATCAGCTGTCTATCACTACAACAAAATACCTGAGATTAATAACTTTAAAGAGAAAGGGTTTACTTGAGCTCACACATTTGAAAGTTCTAGTCCATAATGAATTGGCCCCTTTGTTTTAGGCTATGGCTAAGCAAACCATAATGGCAAGAGGGCATGGCAGAGTAAAAACACTCATCTCATAGCCAGGAAGCAAAAGAGAGAAAGTGAAACAGACTTAGGTCCTATACTCCCCTTAGGGTCACACTGCCAAAGACCTAAGGATCTTCTACTACACCCTGCCTTTGCAAAGTTTCACTACCTCCCAAGAAGTTAAAATGTAAAAAGGAAGCCAGGCATGGTGGAGTGCACCTGTAGTCCCAGCACTCAAGAGGTCAAAGCAGGAAAATCATTTGAACCCAGGAGTTCAAGGCCAATCTGGTCAGTCCTTAAAACATAAACAAATTTGTAAAAAATCTCTGATAAGATAGGAGTTTGAGCCTTTAACAGATGAATCTTTGGGGGACACTTGAACAAACAGCAGCAGAGAGTCAAGAGAATTAACAGCAAAGTTAAATAAGAGATGTGCAAGAAAGAATCAAGCTGGATTATTAAGCATATGTCAAGGATTTTGTCCTGAGCTGTTTGTGCTGCCATTTATTGACATGAAGAAGGCCTGGAGGCAGATTTGAAGAATAGGGAATCGACAGTTTTGTTTCGCCATGTTACTTTTAAGATCCCTATTAAATTCCCAGCTGGAATTTGTACATATGAAACAGATGTTCAGGGATGGGAGTCTTTCAGAAAAGTGATTTAGTCCTTTCCTATACATGCTGTGATATCATCAATCAAGGAGCGGAAGAGGGAGGAGATATACAGGTCATGCAGTTATCTGGTAGAGAAGTTAAGATGTAAAGAGAAAGCTGGTATGGTAAGTCATGCCTGTAGTCCTAGTACTCTGGAGATTGAAGCAGAAGGACCACTTGAGCCCGGAAGTTTGGGCCAACCTAGATAGTCCTTTAAAAAATTATCAAATTTGTTAAAAGGAATAGTCACTAAGAAGGAAAAGAAAACTGGGGAACATGGTGTCACATAAGTCTAAAAAAGAAAGCATTTTTAAAAACAGAATTGTCAATTATGCCCCACAATTACCTAGCAAAGGCCCTTTTTACTAAATAGCACAGAAAACAATCTTCCTACCAAAGCAAAGGAAAACTGAATGGCTGTTTGCAAATAAAGAACACTGGTTTCCCATGTGTTACCTTCTCATGAAAATATGTTGAGTTCTCAGGTGGCATCAACATTATCCAATGCGT